CAACAGCGCGACCCCCACCCCTCCATGGAGGCCTCGGCACGAGCACGGGGACAGCCGGGGTCAGGCCGCCACCCCGCGCTGGGTCAGGAGACGCTGCTGGGGGAAGAAGCAGCTTGTTCTGCCTTTTTGGACGAGGGACCCCACGTGTGCCACGGAGCCCCACACGTGACCCGGCCAGCCCCGGAGCCGCTGCTTCCCTGGCCACAGCCCCCCACGCCCCGGCTGTCTGCAGAGTGGCCGGAGGGAACGATGGCTCCACCAGCTGGACAGGCCACCTCGGGCCGCTTGTCCCCGACAGGCCGGGTCTCCCAGTCTGTTGCACAAGGTCAAGGTCCTTTTTCAGCCACACAAATCTTACAAGTACTCCTCTTAGGTAGTAGGCAAAAGTAGAGGTGGGGTTCCCGGCCCTCGCCCACCCCCAGCCGCCCTGGGGGCCCCTTCTTGGGCTCCTGGGAGCGTCGTCTGGAAGCAGGTGTACCCGGCAGCCCCCAGCTCCTGGCACCTCTCGGGCTTTGCTTGCCTGCAGCCGTGGCCTCCAGAGACAGTCCCCAGCCAGGGACACCCTGGGGCGACAGTCACACAGTCACCCATCAGCGAGCCCACACACCGCCCATGGTGACCGGGGACCTGGGGAGGCAGGGAACCCGGGTGCCGGTGTCACCCTCAGGGGCGACACCTTGGAGGCCCAGGCGCAGGCCCCGCAGAAAGCAGCTGCGCCCCAGGCCGAGGCGGGTCCTCGCAGGCTCCTGCCGAGCACTGTCCCGTCTGCGGCCAGGCTCCTCGGGCTCAAATCCCGGCTCTACCTCTTCCTCTGGGGGGAGGGGGGGGATTTGGGCGAGCGCCCAGACTTCTCTGCGCCCCACTCGCTCGCCTGTGAAATGGGGCGGTAAAGGACTCCTCACGCAGGGCTGACGTCCTGCGGGGCAGGTGCCTGGTGGCGGCTGGCAGAGGGAGGGGCTGCGTGCGGCTTTGCTCCGAGCTGCCTTGGGAGACGCCGGGCCGCGTGTTCCAACGCACTGTTCCCTCCAAGCTCACCAGACCACGCCAGGTAGCGCTGCCACGTCCGGACACAGAAGCTGAGGCCGGGGCTGGCTCCCAGCCTGGCCCATCGCTGTCAGCCCAGGACTGGGCACGCCGGGTCCCAAAGGCGCCCAACGCAGCAGGTGCTCAGCCGGCCACAGGCCCCGCTCCCAGCGCCGGGACCAGCAGCCTCGCGGCCCTGACCCAGCCCCTCCTTTCTCTCCGCAGGGCTTCCCTGAGAGGGCTGTTGGGGACGCTTTGATGTAGAGAGGCCAGCAGGGGCGGGCAAGTGGCCGGGAGCAGAGGGGACGGCGCCCACCATGGGGGCAGGGGCAGCCTGCTGTGAGGCAAGGCTGGGCTGGCCTGGCCTGCTCCAGGCGCCCCCACTGTCCCGGGAGTGCTCCCTCCCCAGCAGCCAGCCCAAGAGCAGCCCCCTCCTCCCTTCAGAGCCTGCCCTGGGCCGCAGCCCCCTGGGGCGTCTGACCACAGAACTCTGTCTCTCCTCCCCCCTCTCGGAGGGAGCAGTGGCTCCGGTAGGACCAGGCAGTTCCAGGTGGGGCACTCGGGCCTGTGGCTGGCAGAGATTGCCTAGGCCACTCTCGGTCTCAGACCCCAGGAGAAAGAGGGTCTTTGTCCCTGACCTGGAGCAAGGACGGGCCTGGGGCCCTGGCGTGGCGGCAAGAGGTGAGCTGGCCGCACTGCAAGGAAGGCCAGGCAGGACCGGGGGCCCCAGCACGGGGGCCAGCGGGCGGCCAGGCGGTAGAGGTGAGCGACCTCCCGGCAGAGCTGCAAAAGCCAGCGAGGAGGGTCTCCTGCCCACCAGCCCTTTCCCCTGCCGCAGGTCTTGTCCCCAAGGACAGGCTGGGTCCCCAGGTGCCGTGGCAGTGATGGTCTGGGTTCCCGGGCCACAGGAGACGGCGGGCGGGGCTGCTGCTGACCCGGTGTGTGCCCGGGCCCTCTCAGCCTCGCTCCGTGGCAGGCACTTGCCAGGCGCAGCCCAGCGGTGTTGCCAGGGCAGCAGGTAGCGGCTCAGGCTGTGCCAGGCGGACAAGCCTGGGCTCGAATCCCAGCCTGCCCCAGGCAGGGAGCCACTGGCCTCTCTCTAGACGGAGGCTGAGACCAGCCTCTCGGGGGGCGGGCACCCCTGGAGTCCCTCACACCTGCAACCACCTGGGGGGGGGGGTGGACAGGCATGCCACGGCTCCATCCTGCAGACGAGGAAACTGAGGCTCACAGGGCAAAGGCCCTGCCGAGGGCTGGGGCTGGGAGGGGTGGAGCCATTCCCCTGGCTCACGGGCTGGAGGTGGCTTGAACTGCTAAAGTTCAGCCGACAGCTGAAGATGTCTGACCGCCTATCACTGGTTATCACGGTCCCACACGGACGGACACACAGTGCACCGAGCAAGGCGGTCACAGACAGACCACAGACGCAGGGGCAGCAGCGGCCAGCTCCGTGGGCTGTCTGGGATGCGGGAGCTGTGAGGTGTCCCAGGAGTGTCAGCACCCCTATAAACCAGGGCACTCCTGCAGCTGTGAGGCCCAGGACTGGCCAGCCCCATCCCGCCGGGATGGCTGCTGTCTGCCGGGCAGAGGAGGGACGCCTGGGGTGCAGGGTGAAGAGACAGGGAGGGAAAGCGCCGGGAGGGGAGTCCGGTTGGTGGGTGACCTTGAGCAAGCCCCCTCCTCTCTGGGCCTCAGTCTCCACCTCTGTGCAATGGGGAGAGCAGAGGCATCCACCCCGGCCCCTGTGACGAGGCATGACGAGTCCTCGGCACACGGCTGGCTCTGGACGCATGCCCGTGCGTGTAAGTGGTTTTCAAGATGCACTCAGAACCAGGGCTTCTGAGAAGGGGGAGTCCTGCCCCGCTGGGGGTCAGAGGGGCCGAGGCTCCAGGAGGGCCCCGGGGGCGGAGGGCAGGCCGCGCAGAGCCGGAGCGTGGAGGGCGAGCGGCGCTGGGGTCTGGTCTGGTCTGGCCGGAGCAGGGGAGGGTGGGGACGGGGGGTGAGGGGTGGGGGGCGGTGGCCTCACACGCGGGCTGGCAGGTGGGGCTCCGGGGGCGGGAGGGACGGGGTGCCAGCTCACGTCCCTGCTGGCTTGGAGCCCGCCCCGGTCCCGCCGGCTCCCAGCCTGGCCCCGTCCTGCCCCCACGTCTCGGGGGCAGCAACCCCCCCGAACTGCCGGCCTGCCTTTTTCCACCCTGCCCCCCCGCCCCGCTCCCCGGCAGTCACCTCCCCTGCTCCGGGAGAGCCGAGGGTCATTTCAGTCCTGCTCAGAGCTGGACGCCTCCCGCAGCCAGCTGCTCTGTGTCCAGGCGGCCAGGCCTCGGACGGGAGCCACACAGGCCACCCCCGCTCTGCGCCGCACCGCCCTCCAGGGGCAGCTCAGTCCCCACCGCTCTGCAGCCTCCTCGGCCGCCCCGACCCCGCCACCTGTCTCCCTGCGCTGGGGCCGTCCCTTGCGGCCCCTTCCTCCTTAATGGCTGCAACACGTGTACTGCTCCCCCTCCCCCGCCTCCCACCCTCCCTCCCTCCCTCTCCAAGCCGACGGCGGGTCCCGGAGTTCACAGCTGCAAGCACACACGCATGCACACATACACACACTCTCATTCACACACACAGCCCCCACACACATGCGCACATTCACACACATACGCACACTCACACGCACACATACTTATGCACACAGCCCCACACACATGCACACACACATACTCATGCACACACATTCACACAGCCCCCACACACACATGCACACACACACACACACATACTCATGCACACAGCCCCCACACACACATGCACACACACACACACACATACTCACGCACACACTCACACGCACACATACTTATGCACACAGCCCCACACACATGCACACATTCACGCACACACTCGCACTCACACATATGCACACACTAACACACACGGCCACACACACGCACGCACACACATGCACACGCACTCTCACACACTCACATTCACACACACTCACACTCACACACGTGTGCACACACTCATTCATACACACTCACACAGCCCCCAATACACATGCACATGTACTCTCACATACACACGCACACACTCATGCACACACACACTCACATTCACACACACACAGCCCCACGCACACACGCACACATGCTCATGCACACAGCCCACACACACACACATATTCACGCACACACTCTTACACGCACTCTCACACACAGCCCCCCCATGCACACACACACGCACACACACTCATGCCCAGATCCGACTGTGCGTGTTTTCCTGCCTCTGAGCGGGGTCTGGGGCTCCGAGCGCCCCACCACTCAGCACCGACACCCACGTGCGTGTCCCCGCCACCATCTCCCACGGGCTGGGGCCGTGACAGGCCACGGGGGCCCACGCGCCTCCCCGGAGCCAGCACAGCGGGCTCTGCTGCCCCATCTGGAGAAGGCACCGGCTCCGCACAGACCAGACTGAAATGAGCGGCAGCCCCACCTCTCTGGGCTTTCATTCATTCCTTTAACAACGTCATTCATTCAGCCAGGTTTGCCAAACACCCACCACGTGCCGGGCTTGGGCGTGGGGTTCGGGGCAGGCGTGCAGCCAGCCAGAGCCCCTGGCCCTGGTTCCCGCTGTCTGGGGTGGGGGGCACGGCCCAGGCAGCCCAACGCCAACGGCTCAGCCACAGGTGGCGGGTGCCGAGACGGGAGTGAGGTGGCACGTGGGGACACGGCGCAGGAGCCCCTGAGCTGGCCTCGGAGGGCAGGGTACCGTCTGCCGTGGAAGCCGTCCCCGCAGACGGTCTGGCCTGCGCCAGACAGAGGAGGGGCAGGAAGTGCCTTCCTGCAGGGGAGGCGGGGAGGGGAGCCGGCGTGCAGGGGGCTGGGCCGTGGATGCCTGGGGGTCTCTGTCCGTGCTTAGACTGCGCCCCGGGGCTGCGGGCGCCTCGGAAGGGTCTCAAGCAGAAGAATGACCAACCTGACACATCGCATCAGATGTTTCATTGCAAACCACAGCGACTGGAGACAAAATAGAGGTTTCTGGAAAGGCATGCAGGGCCCCCAGCTGGAAGGGAGGAGGAGCAGGTAAGCCGCGCAGAGCAGGAGCACCCGGGGGCCCTGCCGCACCCAGACTCCAGCTCCCCGGAGGAGGAGCACGCAGGCCACCTGGGAACACCTGCACCCACCAGCTCAGGAGCCACGGTGCACCTCACAGACCCCACGCCCACGGGGCCTAAGACGCAGACCCAAAACATGTGCGTCCGTGTGTGGAGTTCTAGAACGGGCAAAGGCAGGGACCGGGGCAGGAATCATATTAGCGGCTGCCGCAGGGGCCACCCTGGGACGTGGGGTTGCACAGGTGTGTGCATTTGCTAAAACGCATCGGACTGCGCGTTTAAAAACCTGTGCGTTTTGTCCTGCGTGAATCCCATCCCGAGGGAAACATGAAATGAAGCAGGAGCTGTCCTTTAGCTGACAACAAATCCGTCAGTCCGGGGACAGATCGTGCGCCTGGGTAGCTCGGGCCACAAACACACCCTTGCTTGGCCGGGGACGGGGCACCCCTCCAGACGGCTCCCCAAGACCACGAGGGAGGGTGGTTTCTGGAAGGCTCTCCAAGGAGCCGCTGTCAGAGGGAAGGAGAGCCGTCAGCCTTGTGCTTGGAGCACGAACAGGAAGGTCCGGTCTGTTCACTTCAGGTGTGAAAGGATGCCAGCGGTCAGTTTCACGAGTCCCGCACCAAGAAAGTGGGCCTGGGGCGGCAGCCGTGGGCGGGACACGCGTGCAACTTCCCTGCAAAGTCCTTCCGGCGATTGCAGTGGGCAAAACCGTGGGTCTCTCACCTTTGCCACCTGCAGAAGACAGGCGACCCAAGCAGCAGCAGCTCTCATTCTGGGGAGAGGGCGGGGCGGAAATGCCCCGAATTCGGGGACTGTGCTCGGGGGACGGGGACTGTGCTGGGGACTTTCCCCAAGGCTTGGCCCGAGAGCAAACAGTGTGGTCCCCTTGAGTCAGCGCCCCCCGCTTCCCAAAAAAACAAAACCTCAGAGGCAAGTGCTGGTCACATGGCACACCAGCTGTCGGACCCTCTCTGTGTGTCCGCCGCATGTGCTCTGGTGTCCCAGGGCTTTTAAACCCTCCTGCCGGCGCCCGGCAGCTGCCACCGGGGCCTTCTCCGTGGCGAGCCCGGCCTGGGGCCTGCAGGCCTGCGCCCGCCGCAGCCTCCCTAGCAGCCCATGGGGACGCTGGTGGCCAAGCTGCTCCTGCCCACCCTCAGCAGCCTGGCCTTCCTGCCCACCGCCAGCATAGCCGCCAAGAGGCGGTTCCACATGGAGGCCATGGTCTACCTCTTCACCACCTTCTTCGTGGCGGTGAGTCCGGGGCCCTGCTGGGGGGGGGGGGGACGTCCTGCCACCACTTAGAGTGAGGAAGAGAAGCGATTTGGAAGTGAAAGAAAGAGCCCGGGGTGGGGTCCGGAGAGCAGAGGGAGGGCTAAGAGTTCTGCCCACAGCCTCAGTTTCCCCATCTGTGCCAGGAAGCTGTTCTGGGCTTACTGCCCGTGTCAGGGAGGCCAAGCCGAATGCAGAACAGTCCGTCAGTTGAGGACAAGCCCTTCCCGGGAGCCCCTCTCCCCAGCCAGCCCCCCAAGCCTGCCCGGGCACCCACCCCTCCCCCACCTCTCTCCTGGCTAAGCCTCGAGGGCCCGAGAGCAGGCGGGTGGGAGGACGGGTGGGGTCTGGCCCTGGATTCTGGAACTGCCCCGTCCGGGGGACCCGCTCACCTCGCTTGTTCCCCCCAACCCCAGGGCTCCCCCACCCCCCCCCACCCCGCCCCCCACACGTCTCTGACTCTCTGTGTTTTCTCTCTGCCGCCGTTTTTTTCCCTTTCTATGTCTGGTTCTCTTTTGATTTCTGGAACTGTAGCCCCATGGAATTTACTCTCTAAATCTCTTGATCTCTCTGGAGCTGCGCTCCCTGACCCTGCAAGTGTCTCTCTGGCTCCCCCATCCCTGGGGCTTGCTCCCGTCTGCCTGTCTGTGATCTGCCTCCGGCCAGTCTGCCCTCTCTCCCCGGCCCGTGCCCTCCTTCCTCCCTGCCGCCCGTCTCCGACGCCCCTGCCCTCTCCCCCTCGCCCACCTTCCACCAGACGCGTCTCCACGGCAGCACACGCCTGGCACACGCCTGCGCTGGGGGGGGGCGTCCTGCCAGCCTCCTCGTGGCAGCGCCGGGCCTGACCTATGACGACCTACAGCCCCCGGGCAGCCCCCGCACAGCCACGGGGCCTCTCTGGGCAAGAATGCCACGTGTGCCCACGGGCAGCCGGTGCCGGTGAGGCCCGTGAGCACACGCGTGTTGGCAGACGCGTAGTCACACGGCACGCCTGCATCCCGAGTCGGTCAGGCCCGACTCTGCCAGCAATGGGAGAAGCCGAGTGCGCGCAGGGCGGAGGTGGGGTGGCAAACGCCCGCTGCGGTTTGTGCTGCCCCAGGAGTCGGGGACCTGGGACGGGACGGGTGCTTGGCGGAACCAGTTGCCCTGGGAGGGGAGAGACACCAGCCACCACCGCAAGGACCCGCAAGCCAGCGTCCGGGTGGGGACTGATCCGGGTGCTCTAGGCAGGGTCTCGTTGAGTCTTTTCACCCCCACCCCCATGAGCCTAGTGTCGCGATTCTCCTGTGACAGGTGGGGAAACTGAGTCCCAGAGAGGCTGAGCCACCCGCCCTGTAAGCACCAGACACACGCGGGGGCTCCCAGCCTGCTCATGGTGCTTTCCAGACGCCGTTCCTCGTGCTGCCCTGCGGCCCCGCCTGGCTCCGGGCTAGGGGTGGGGGAACGGGAAACCAAGGCGCAGAGCACCGCCAGGACTTCTCTGCGGGCACGGGGGCCTTGGGAGCAGGGAGAGAAGCCGGGGTCCTGTCCCCAAGGCCCCCGTTAGACCCAGCCCAGCCAACCACAGGCAGCAGCCGGGCCGCCCCCACAGCTGCCCCTGCGGCCTGCCCGGCCCCTCCCTGCCCCACCCAGAGTGCCAGGGGCAGCTGCCGCCGGTGACAAATGTGCTCGGCCTCAGAGCCACACTCTGCGCCTCCCGGAGCTCTCCCTCCCCAGGGCCCTCCCGCACAGTCGCCATTTCTGCGCACTCGAGCCCCGGGGGGTGGGGGGGAGGTGTTCCCATCCCCCGTGGACAGAGGCGGCTCCACACGGCCTGAGCTCCCGCTGGAACTGCTGCCCCAGCCACACCTGCCCCCAGCAGCACCCTTGCTGGGCCAGGCCTGCCCCTGCTTCCAGGGGTGGTGGGGGGTGGCGGAGCCCCGAGCCAGCCCCGGCCTGGGCAGGTGGTGCTGAACAGAGCTGAGGAACCAAGGGCCTGGAGGAGAGGCGGGGGTGGACCAGCTGCCCCCTGACCCCCTGCACACATGCCAAAAGCAGTCTACACTGGCGCTGCCTTACTGCTGGGACCAGGCAGAGGCCACTCCTGCTCCGACGGGGGCAGGATCTCACCATGAATAATTCTCACTACATGGCGGTATGCATTACATGGGGGCGGCACAGAGACAGCAGGCGCGGGGGGCAGGGGGGGGGCAAGCCAGGGGCGGCAGGTGCAGTTCTGGAAGGAGCCGGGAGCACAGGACACTACCACAGGCCCTGCACCCTCCTCCCTCCTCCAACCCACACTTAAACACCTTGATCAGGCCGTACCTGAAGTTTCTCTTCCTCCAAGCTAGAGTCATGCCCACCACCTAGTCACCCTCCTCTTTGCCCGAAGCTCCACACGGTTCTCTGGGAGAGCTGTAAGACGCGGGGCTGACCGCCTCCTCCCTTGTCCTGGACACTATATCTCTATTAATGCCTCCCAGGTGCCTGCCACTTTAGCCTGCCTACCATTGCACGCAGTAGGCGCTCTCTAAATCGACCCGACTTGCCCTGCTCCCTCTGCAGGGGCCCTGCGGCCTCCAGACCCGGCCTCGGTCCAGCCCGCTACCCCCCATCCACCCCCGCCCCGGCTGGGCTCACCAAGAGTCGATTGTGCTGGTTTCCAGGCCTGTTTATGCCAGTTGAGCTTGTCAAAATAATTATGTCATGCAATTAAATATGACTTAGAATGATGAAATGTGAGCGCAACGGGAGAGCGAGCTGTTTTCCGTGAGGCGTCTGCCGGGGAAGCAGGTGCCGGGCGGGCAGACAGCCGCGGGAGAGCGCGGCCGGGCCGGGCAGTGGGCGCCGCCCGCTCACACCTGCCGGGCCCCAGAGCTCCCCCCACTTTAAAGCAGCAGAAACCGAAAGCCGCGGCCTGCAGCTCTCAGTCCCCGCTGCCCCCACCGCTGGGTCCCTGAGAATCTGCGCATCCCCCCACCCCACCCCAGCCCAGACGCCTGGGCCGGCCGCTGCGGGGTGGGGCCCAGCAGCCTGAGCCGGCACGCCCCGGTCCTGCTGCCCACGCGGGTCTGCAGCTCTGCGTGTGGTCAGGCTGCAGAGGCCCCCCAGGGCGAGCAGGCTCCGGGGAGAGGCTCCGGCCCGGCTCCGGGGACGCAAGCACAGCCCCGCATGTCCCACCTCTCAGGCTCCATCTGAACGACCAGATAAAGCCTCTGCCCGGCCCCTCGCCGAGACCCCAGAGCCCCCAGGCCCTGAACCCCTCGAGTGCATGTCCTGTTTAGTCCCCACGGACCCCGCGCGGGGAGTCCCTGGCAGCTCCCCCAGTTTTGGTGGGAGGCGGAGGCACAGAGACATTGCGTGACTTGCCCCCGGCCTCTCGGCTGGCCAGGGGCCTGGCTCCTGGGGGCTGCGGCTCGGGGGCCAGCCCTCCCCCCGGGCTCCGGCCCCGCCCTCCCGCGCCCCCACCCGTGACCCTGCGGTTTTCCGGCAGCTCCACCACGCCTGCAGCGGGCCCGGCCTTTCCGTGCTGTGCTTCATGCGCCACGACGTCCTGGAGTACTTCGGCGTGTACGGCACCGCGCTGAGCATGTGGGTGTCCCTCATGGGTGAGTGGTCGCCCCCTAGAGCCTCCCCCGTTTCTGGGCGCCGCAGCCGTGTTCGCTGTGAACGAGGACACGCAGCCCTCGAACGCCCGAGCCCCGTTTCTCAGACCTTTTCACGGCGACTCCGCTCAGGACAGCTTGTTGCACAGACCGGAACGGCCGAGGCCAACCCAGGGAGGACCGGAAGCGCGTCCTCCGGCGCCCTCCCCGGGAACGCCACTCCCGCCAGGCTGTCCTGCGGTGCGGGGCCTCTCAGGGACAGGCCGGCCGGAGCTCGCTGTCCCCCACGGTCCTTTTCCGTCACCGCTGTCCCTTGGTGACATGGAGACAGTCCCCATCACCTGAGGGCCTGCTCACCGTCCGGGAAGCTCATGGCCGTCTGCGCTGCCCAGTGGCCCCCCACCCCGTGGCCCCCCCTCCCCGTGGGGCCCTGTGGCCCCCTCCTCCCGTGGCCCCGTGTGGCCCCTCCTCCCGTGGCCCCCCCACCCCGTGGGGCCCTGTGGCCCCCTCCTCCCGTGGCCCCGTGTGGCCCCTCCTCCCGTGGCCCCCCCACCCCGTGGGCCCCCTCCCCGTGGATTCCCCCTTTGGCCCTCCTCCCCCGTGGCCCCGCTGTGCCTTCCCGGTGGCCCCACCCCCGTGGGCCCCCCCGTGGGCCCCATCCCGTGGCCCCTCCCGTGCCGCCCTCCGCCCATGCCCCCCTCCGTGCCCTCCCGTGTCCATTCCCCCCCTTTGCCCACTCCTCCCCGTGGCCCCCCCTCCTCATGCCCTCCCTCTGTGCCGCCCTCTGGCCTCCCAGTGCCCCCCTCCAAAACGTGGGCCCCCCCACCCGTGGCCCGCGGGGCAGACTGGCGCGTTCGCCCCTGCGTGTGGACCCCGTGGTGGGGCGGGAACAGGCCCCGCTGGGCCGCCCGAACCCGCTGCTCCGCGTGGGACAAGCGGCCGGCCTCCGCTTCGCAAATCTGGCGGGAACTGGAGCCCCTTCCACCGAGCGCGCTGGCCCCGGGGCCTGGAGGGACCGGCGCCCTGTTGGGCATGCAGAGCCGGCAGCCA